AGTTGTCTCATGTGCTCCCAGAGGCCTCTGGTGGGGCCACTGTGGGAAGCTGGACTCGATGGCCCTTGGCCGGATCCAACAAGGTTCTTCTTATGTTCTTACGTAAGTATGGTCCAGCATCTGGGGGCTTCTACATGTTCCTCCTCCCTGACTTACATTGTAGAACAAGGCGAAAGCAGGATGGATGGTGTGGCTCAAAGACATGATGTGTTTCTGAATGGTCCTGAAAACAGCTTCCCCCATACAAGACATTTTAACTGCCTTCTATGAACTCAAGAGATCTGTGTTATATCTAAAGAAAAAAAAATTGAACAAGTTTGCTTTTACTGGCTATTTGCTCCCATGCCATTTTCAATTTTAAAAGAATATATGCCATTTCTAAGCATTCACCTAATATTTTTAATGATAAAATAAGTTTGAATACAATCATCTGTAGCATGTTAATGAGACTGTTAAAAGAAGTATCCAACATAGTGATCACATCCACAAAGATAAAGAGCCTAATAGAGGAGAGAGAACTTTAAACCCAGTATTATACTGGCTCTCAGATGTTGTAATACATAGTTTGGGATTTCTGCTTCTGCCCCTGAACAACTGGGGGTATTAGTATTCTATTTACTTAAAAATGATACAACTTTTTTCACTAGGAAAGACAATGGAAGGCAGAGAAGAGGCTCACCACAGCAGAGTCCAACACAATGAAAGGGAAACTCATTGATAGAGCTTTCAGATAAAGTCTGAGCAGGGCCCTCATTTCTACCCACTGTTGCAACTGGAAGCATTGTTTAAGTCAATAGGCTGTTCTTCCTGAAGCAAGTTGTGTCCATCTGGTTAAGGCACAACTAATCCTGCAGCTTCGGACAGTTGATATTCCTATAAATTTACCCATATAAGCATTAGGTTGAGTTCTACTCCTGGAGTGTTCCGTGTGTAGAGCAAACTTTCTGCTTACCAAATGTTTTATTTGTTTGCTTTTTGTGGGGGACTGATAAGAAAGCTAGACTCTGCCCAAGACAGATTTGCAGAAAGTGGTCAAGAGAAAGATGTATGATTGTTCCATTTGCTCTATTAAATGATTACATTTCTTTCATCTAAGTATTAAAGAAAAAATAACCGAAGAAACTAAAATACCTCTTCATTCAAGATGCACTGATGCCAAGCAAGGTGAACACTGAACGTTGAGGGAGGAGGAGTTGGCATACCTAAGAGTCCATTTTTGATTTGGTACCCTCATCCACCCCAACCTCACCCAAGCAAATTAGAATGGGGGGGTGCGTGCAATCAAAATGGACAGAATAATGGAGATGTAAACCATGACACAAAACATGCTTTCATTTTTATTCACAAAACAGCCTGAATTGCTAGAACATTACAAACAGCCTTTCAGTTAGTGATGGTGAGAAAGCAGGAGACAACTTTTGAACAGAAAAGTCTTGTCATAAATGTTCTCAGTATAGGTTCTGCAACAGGTTACATCTGAATTCCAGTAACATTTTCAAATGGTTTCTAAAAGAGAATCATTGCAATTAGCACTGGGTTTAATCTAGTGTGCAGGTTTTCTTTTCTTTTTTTAAAAAAAATCTAAACATAATTATTAATTTGTTTTACTTTAAAGACCTGCCAGTTTTCGTTACACTTTCACTTTTTAATATCAAACATCTTGCAGATTAAACCTTATTTTATGTGTATGGTTAGGGAGAGGAAAACTACTTTAGTTTAAACATATTCTCATTTATAAACATGAAGTTTGAGGCATTCTAGAAACTAGCCACACTATTTTTCTTTAATGATGGAAATTAATCAAACAAAAAAAAATGAATGAGTAAACAGCTGTGCTAATTACAGTAGTGCTTATTGGTAACTAGATTTAAAAGGTTACTGTAAATTTACATTCTCTACACAAGAACTGCATCTTCCACACATAAACAACATCAACACCATAACACAGGAAAATAAATTGATTGATTGTCCATACTCTATTACGTCTTGGTACTTTATGGATTCTTTTTTTAAAAATTATTTGAAAAGCAGTTAATGTTTCTTTTACTAGTACTCAAAGATGTTAAACAAATGCCAAAAAAAATTATTTAAAAAAAATAGGAATGAAATCTGCGAGAAAATATTTTTGGTTCTAAAGGAGACATAGGCGCATCCATTCATTTCCGCCAAAAAATGCCTTGCCTGAGACAACACAAGCAAGCAGTGACATTGCACTGGATGACAGAGCTTTGGGATTCTTGTTCCTACTGAAACCATCGGAATGCAGCGCCTGTAGGAAGCATCACTTTCTGCAGAGACAGAAGAGAACAGAACAGGGACATATGATGAGCAGGGAAGAGAATGAGCCCTGGGCATTGTTCAGTACTTTGCCTCTTTTATGGACTATCCACCGCAACACAACACAAAGGATGCCCAGACTTTCCACTGCAGGGTCCCTTATTTTTCAGATACTGAGTTGGCACCTTCCCACATTTATAACATGAATGACATCACCCTCCATTCCCAAACATAGTTACTGCATCACTTTCTGCTCCTCTCCAAGATCTCTTGGCAACTTCTCATAACATTCACATCTTCTCTACCAGCAGCTTTCATCTCAGGGAGCTGGAAAGCCTCTTGGGGAACAGGCTCAGCTGTCTTGCTGAATCACCCTCTAAACCAGATAGCCTCACCCCACCCCAAGAACTCCTCTGCCCACCATTCAAAGAGAAGTTAAGAGAGGAAAAATTTGGGATTGCTTAAGATCAGAATTGGACAACTGTGACCCTCTATTTTATTTTAATAACTTATTTACTTACTCCCATGCAAATGGTGAGGGATTCTGGAAGTTGCAATATAATTGAGGGTTGCAAATGCCCACCCCTGCTTTAGATGAGCAGAAAATAAATCCTCCACCAGTGGCCAATTTTAATACTTTAGAACAGTGGTCCCCAACCTTGGGCCTCCAGATGTTCTTGGACTGCAACTTCCAGAAGCCTTCACCACCACCTCTTATGGCCAGGATCTCTGGGAGTTGAAGTCCAAGAACATCTGGAGGCCCAAGGTTGGGGACCACTGCTTTAGAAGACATGACTGAGGCCAAGAGAAGATGTCAAACCAGACAATCCACAGCAGTTCCTGGTTTCTCTTTTCCCCACCCCCAAGAAACCTGAAATCCATCAACCAGTTGTGGCTCCTAGGTAGGCAAATCTGTCACTGAGAATTCTTCCCAAAGGGTGCCTTTGAGCACTTGCTCAGCCTAAATTGTTCCCCCCTTCCCTTCTAAAAAGTACCAGAAATAAATTTACAATTCTTTTCAAAGAGATGCACACAAAAACAGAAAGAAAGAAAGAAAGAGAGAAAGCCCCTGATGACATACTCAGAAATGTTCCTTTCCAGTAAGCTAATTTGACAGGGAGGCTTTTTAGTTATTGCTATTGGCAAACAAGGAACCAGAACCCCTTGCTAATCTATTACAAATCATGTAGCAACCTACCAGTTCATTCCAATTTACTAAGCCCTGGTCTAAGGAATTCAGGAAGAGTGATGATCTCCTAAGGAGAGATCTGCAATTGTGCTAGAGCTTGGTTATTATGTCGCAGTTGCACTGTTGTAGAGTCAAGAAACATGCAGTTCCTTGACCCTATAACAGTGGGGGACTTCTGAGATAGCCCCATTAATCTATCCCAATGATTTCAGCACTACAAGGTGAAGCAGAAAAACACTGCAACTTTACAGTCTAGAAACAAATTGAGAGAGAGAGTAGAATAGGGCTCTCTATCTTCAAAGGCTTACTCAATCATGCAGCGATGCGTAACCTTTCCTTTTCCTTAATTAAATAAAATTGAATGAACAAAATAAATTACTACAAATTGCTGAAATTCCTTGATGGGAATATGGGCTTGGCTAGAATAAAAAGCTCTGTCCATCCCATATTGTTCAGGGCATCCATCCAGTTTTGTTGGTGGTGACCAAGGTTCAGTTTCATGGGTTGATGTGCAACAGTGTTCAGAGTGCATCTCAAACAGAGATGGGAAGGAGAAGCATTACTGATTGTTGTTCCACAAGGATATAGTTTCCTCTTACGTAAGAAACTTGACAAAGTTTTTGCATAAGTATTTTCCAGGAATATTACAACACTCTTTTATTGAGATACTGTCGAGATACAAGCTGGGATCTCTATTTTATGCCCCTTGTTTTTCAAGTGTGGAGACGAGAGCCAGACTGAAATTTTGTAAATATGCTTTTTAGCTGAAGTTACAACCTTCTGAGAGAAAATAACATTCCTTCACCATGCCAAGTTGACCTACAAAAATGTATGAATTGTTAATGATTGGCTTGTTTTTAAGCCCCCTTACTAGGAGGGATGGATAGGCTCCTGAAATTGTTATCAACCTGTGTAGCTCTGCAGTATTTTCTAAAAGGTGAGTGCTTAGAGACGTTGGATGGGCCTCCCAGGATTTAAACAGAAATATTCTTATCTTTACAAAATTTCTCTGCTTGACACATGACTGATGAAAAGATTAAGCTTTTAAATGGACAGTGACCCCCCACATCCCCAGTCCAGTCTTCATACTGTTGTTTCATACAAATCCTCCAGTCAGTGATATGTGCAAAGCATCAAAGTGTTGTGAAGGGTCCAGGAAAGATCAGTGATGGAAGAGAACACACAGAGAAACACAATGTATCTTGGAATACAGTTTAACATCCAAACGTGCAGTAAAATAATTTGTGGCACAAAGCTGCTCAAGTAATAGCTTTATCACACACAAAACATGTCCCAAAATCTTCGTTTTGATGGCTACTATATTTTCTGTTGTTTCCCTACCTTCTTCGAGACAGAACAATTTAATCTTCTGAGATAAGTGGGCAAAGTGAATAAAGCTCACTTGTAAGCATTAGTCTTAAATTATTGTGTCAATCCATATGTATGCCTGTTTCAATGTACCTTATTGGACGTAAACAGACCTTTTAAACAAAGGGCTAGGGACAACATCTCTGTGCTAACCTATAGACACATCAGCTGGAGTACATGTTTCATGAAACAGCACATTGCATCTGTGCATGCAGTTACGTGGTGTCCACAGGTTTCCACATATGGGACTGTAGATGGGTCTTTTTTTCATGTACCTTTCAAAAAATATAATACAGGAGAATGACATTTAAAGTGCAATGGCACTGGTCTGAACGCAGTTTTGCTGTTCCAAAAATAAATGCCCAGAATGCAGTAAATATGTAATTGTGAACACTTCTATCTCACATAGGATGTTTGCCTGTCTCCTGATATATTGCCAAAGAAGGAGAACAATAACTAATCCATTTTAAAAAGCACAGAGATTTCATAATTATGATACCCACGGTTAATGTATACATATCAGTAATTCTTTCGTGATATAACTGTGGCTACAACCAGAGATGTAAGATAATATGTATGGCTTAAAATATCTCTTCAGGATCTGATTGTCCAAAGCTCACATTTCTGTTGCATTTCTAAAAAGATGTTATTAATTAGATAATTATAGCTTTGAATCATGCATAAACATTTTATGCAGCATTTCCTACTGAAATTCCCAAACTGGTGGCTACTGCATTTTCATCTGCCTCCTGATGAACACTAGAGACAGAAAAGGATTTTCATTTCCCACTGAGAGAAGAACAGTTACAACCACAAGGTTCTTTAGCAGAGATTCCTGCTGTGAGAAGCTCTTGTCTTCACTTGCAATGGGAGCACCACTCTTTGACAAGACCCTACAGGTTCCTTACACCTGCTGGGGTTAGCCTGACCTATCACTGCAATTTATTAGTGACTGTTCTGGGAGAGGAGGCAGGAATGTATCACTTTTTAACCTTCAAGTGCTTGCCTTAAGAACTGGAGACCTGAAAAGGAGGAGGGTCATTCTTAAAAGAACATTAAAATGATGTGGCACAGATAGTCTCACACTGCTGTCTTTATCTTCTCACTGTTCCAGCTGTAACACAACTAGTTCCCCTTCCTTCTGTGGTGTCTAACTACTATTAAGTCAAATATAGAAATGCTTGGGCAATTATTCTGGTTCTACTGGCACAGGAAAGCTATTTCCCATGCAAAATTTGACTGGCTTCCTGAGATCCATGAGCTTGCATCAAAGCAACCCTATAATTCAGTACATTTTTTAAAAGCTACCATGCTGCAAAACTTAGAACATTACCAAGATTAGAAGAAAGAGCAGAGAGCCACCCACTGTAGTCCTTGTACCCACAGCCAGAAGGAACACTTTAACTGGTTTGCATTTTGGTAGTCAAAAACACTGGATAATCTCTAAGGCAGCCTTCCTCAAACTGGGCCCCTCTAGATGTTTTGGATGCCAACTTCCATTAGCTTGTTGGTGTTGTCAATGGCAGAAAAGATGGGCTTAATCCAAAACATATGGGGAACACCAATTCTAAGGTCTATACAGACACATTCAGAATCCTTCAGAGATAACTTTAAAAATGGATGCTTTCTGGAAGATAGCTTTCATATTTAACAGTGACAAAGTGGCTTAAATTCTAAGCTCCAGAGACCGTGTATCACTAACCAGCAGGTCCTGCTTATCAAGATGCCTGGGGTACCTGGTTGACTTTTGCTAAAATATAATCTCGGTTTAGATAGACTTTGGTCTAATCCAGCAAGGCAAAGCTTCTATTTTTATGACTGGGAAGCATGAGGTAAATTAGATAACACAGATAAACAATGGCTGGTTATTGATCATTATATCTTACCCTTGAATATTCACAATTCCAAGTTCCTGGAAATAAAATGCTATTAGCATACTTTTAAGGAGATGAGTCTTGCTGCATGGATTATATTCTCTTTTCCTTCTCTAGAAACATATGGATTGAACCATAATCATCAAAGCCTTTACTCTTGAATGGGTTCTGCTGATACCATTTATCTTACTCCACAGCAAATTATTATACTGTGGGAATGTCAACAGCCTTAAAATTGAGTGAAGAATGTGATATACAGAGATACACTGCCTCTGGCAAAGGAGCAAGTATATCTTCCTCACAATCCTACCCTCCATGAATTAGTCCAGGCTCTCTTTAAAGCTGTCAAAGTTGGCAGTTCCACTGTTCAACTTCATGCTATGTGAACAAATATTTCCTTTTGTTGTTGTTATGTGTCATCAGGTCACTTCTTAGTGAAAACAAGCCTGTAAATCCAAAAGATCTTCTCATTTTATGTGAACCCTTCAGCTTCAACAGATGATCCTGGATTATTCTAGTACAAAGGGAGTTATCCTATAGACTTTTCCAAAACCACACATCATTTTACCCATCTCTATCA